TTTTAAAGAAACATATTGACTTAACTTGTAGTGGCTAGACCCTTTTCTAATCTTAGCCTTGATGTTGAGTGTACCTTGTAATTGTTGCTCCATGTAAATGGGTTCTTAATTGAACCCTAAGCCATAATTGTGAAGTTATTAATAGTTTCACTAAACAGAGTAACTATTTAGACTTTAGTCTTGAGGACCAAATTCTTTTACTTTATTTAGCGGTAATGTTGAGATTCTCTACAATTAGTTACGACACATCAAATTCTTTTTGCACATTCAAAAAAACAAGAACAAAACGAATAATGAAATCAATAATTTAGTTTATGATTATGTTGTTGAAGTTACAGTGATAAAATTAAACTAAGTTTTAATAAATCTATTATATTTTTAGGTAGAAAAGACATTTCGTAACAATTAAATTTTCTTGATTAACAATATATTGAAAATTTAACTTAATATTTTTTGTTTTCAAAAAAGAAAGATCTTAACAGAATGATAATCGTATAGGATATTTACACTTAGGAGGTTATTGAAAAAATAAATGCGGATGCTTTTTTCTAATTTTTCCAGAAAATGATAAAAATTATAAACCATATAAATAATTCGTACTGCATGCTCTTTCTATTATGTTAAAAATAGGAACATTTTTTATTTTTTATGAAAAAATCAAAGATTTATTTTTGTGTGCCTATAACAAAATAAATAAAATATTTTAGTAAAGGCAACCGTAACCACAAAATAACCATAGCTTACTTATTTTGCAAATTAATTTCTTTTGGGTTAATTTTCCGCAAAATAATTAATATAAACAACCCCCTAAAACGACAGCGTTTATAAACGGAAACACTCTTATAGTTTTCTTGCTTGATAACAGTGTCTCTGTACTGCAATTGACAAATAAAACCCTAAAACTCCTCTCTTCCAAACTTCGCACCTGACTGTCTCTGCAACTATATACTAAAGGAAAAGAGGAGAGATGGTTTGGTTTCAGTGCGAGGATTGTGGAGAAAACTTGAAGAAACCAAAGTTGCCCAATCATTTTAGAATTTGCTCTGCTTCCAAGGTTTTGTCTCATTCTTGCCTTCTACTTACTCCCTGTTTACTTATGTTTAGAAAGCATACATTTCACTTCTGAAAATTATGACGAAGGCTTATGTACTAGTATTTTCTTCTGTGGTTTTTCTTGGTGACGAAACGCTCTTACTTCAACTCATTGTAAGTTTTTTTTTTTTTTTTTTTTTTTCTCAATTAACGTCGCAGTTATCGTGTATTGATTGCGGAGAGATATTCGGCCAGCAAAGTGTTCAGGGCCACACCCAATGCATTACGGAGGCGGTGAGCATCTTATTTCTCGTTTTTTTTTCTTGGAAAAAAGAACTTTCCCATTAACCAAATGTATTCGTCTTTAATATTAAATTTATTGTTATCTTGTTTGCTGCACTAATGTTATTGCAGTACTCATGATTTTTTTTAAATAGTTACTTTCTTATGAAATTGAAGTATCGGATGCATACTATGCACGTTTGTTTCTGTTCTTGATTGCTAATATCCTATATTGTAGGCTAATCTACTTGGCATGGTACAGAATCGCGTTTTAGATTCTGAGTTCTCCTTTCTCCTAATCTTTGGCTGTGGGTCTCTTTTAAAAGAATTTTTCCTAGTTATGGAAGACAACTTAAAAGAATTTGTTTGAAGGGTTCTTAAATGAATTTTATAAAGCTTTTTGTTATCTTGGCCATGAGCTTCAAAAGTTTAATCTACATATCATTTTCCTGTTTGCAATTTGTACTTTCAGGAAAAATATGGTCCAAAAGGGCAAGCAAAGCCGCTCAATGGTACGACTGCCAAGCCCAACAAGGATTCGAAGCAACATCCTGATTTTGATATAAATGTTGGTTTATCTGAACGGCCTCCATGGTTCTGTAGGTACGTTCATGTTCTGAATTTCATTCACTTATTATAGTAGGCATGCCTTTGGTTATGTAAGAGAACTTTCAATTTACATGCTATTTTGCCCTGCTTGAATGATAATGCACTTGAATACATTTCATATATTTTATGTTTCTAACAAATGCAAATCAATGTGTAGCATGTTACTTGCTCATGGATTGTATATGAGAAATGTCAATTTTTGTTGTTTTAACCTGCTTGGGAGAATGATAATGGATTTTACTATTTTCATGTTTTGTCTGCTTGCTAGAAACTGATTTCAAATCATTCTATGGTATATTCTTGTAAAATGGTTCTGATGGTATTTTTTTGGATAAATTTTGTAAAAACATTATGTACTTTGATCAGTGCTAAAAACTAGGTAATATATTTCTATTATGTTATTTTAGAACCTAAACATTTCAATTATATTAAATTAAGACCTGTAGCTCAATTTTCCGGTAAGACTCACTAAAAAATACTCTTAAATGCTTGCACATGTAAAATTTTTGTAAAATCAGAACTACTACTTATTTTTCACCCTCTATGTGACCCCTAAACCTCCACTTTCCCACCCCTAGCTGTATATTTGGCAACTGCTTTAACTGCTTCAACAGTTTCCTTCACATAATCATCACTTGCAATCATCTCAAAAACATCATATTATCACTGCCAAAATCTTTGTTGAAGATCATGGAGATTAATAAGCAACAAACTAATTCTCTGAATAGGACCAGCTCCCAAAAAAGTGTGGGTTTTCTAAAAGCAATTTGATGACCCAAAAAAACAAAAGAAAGAGAACTGAAGGATCTATGCAATAACAAATGGGGTGATCTGAGAAGCAGATAATCAGCTTGAAGAACTAGTCGTGGGTCAGTCAGGCGGAGGACCATTTGATGGTAGGTCAAGTAGGCTTTTTCCTCTTTGGATTCTGTCATTGAAGTGATTGAACTTTTTTTATGCCTTGAACCTTAATCCTTGTTGTGAGTGAGAGAGATGCGAGAGGTAAGTGGGTTTATTGCATGCTAATTTATTTAAATTATTGTTATCTATTTGTCCTGAAAGTAATAAATGCTGTAAAGAATAATCCTTCTCCTCCTGATGGCTGTTATTGAGAGTAATCGACAAGCAAAAACAGCTTCTTGGAAAATAGAGGGCTCTTCAGTTCTACTCCATAGATCTAAAGACATGAATGCTGGGAGGTTGAGGTCATAGTGACAATGCGCTGGATGTGTTATATCACTACCATTAAGAGTGCCAACATCAATGGAAATAATGGAGGCCTTGTTGGTGGAATTTTTTTATGTAGTGTTTATGTTTGTGAAATTGGCTATATTTCAATTGTTGCCACAATGTGCAATTTTCATGAAGCTTCAAAGTTTACTGTGGTGGCAGCGAATGGTAGTTGTTTTTGATGGCTCTCTGAGCGAGTATGATGAGGCAAGGAACAAAGTATTCCTCTTGAATCATGGGGGATTTGGAGGAGTTGGTTGGCGAAGATGGCTTTGCTACAGAAAGTATGCTGGACTTCTGATGATTATGTGTCGGAGATAGTAGCCGGTGATAATTGTATGAGAGTATTGAGAGAGTGAAGGTGGAGGATTGAGCGAGTGAAGGATGAGAATTAGGAGGGACAATTTTGTCTTTTTTCCATAATTGTACATGTGCCACGCATATGACAGTATTTTCCGGTGAGCTTTACTGAAGGTTGATCCAAGTCTTAATTTGAATCAATTAAAGATTTTAGGTCTTAAATACTTTTTATTTTAAAAAAAAAGATTTTAGGTCTTAAAGAACTGTAATTGAAAGTATAGTCCCATTTTTCCTGAAACAACAAAGTATTATGTTCTAGTTTAAGATATACGTGGTATTTCATATTTTTTATCCACTTTGACTCATGTAATTCGGGTCTTATATGCTGAAATTACTTGTATGTTTTCTTTTATTGAATACTGAATAATTCACTGCTTGAGTTGGTGGTTTTTATTTCATAATCATTTGTTTGCTTTGGTTCCCTTCTTATGGTTTGTATTTGAGATGCTTCTTGTTTTTCATGTACTTATCTGAATCTTTGCAGTCTGTGCAATACCAAGACTACCAGCAAGCAGACTTTGCTTCTCCATGCAGATGGAAAGAAGCACAGAGCAAAAGCCCGAGCTTTCCATGCTAAGCAACAGCCTGAAGAGACTGAAGAATCTGTTCCAGATATGAAGGTTCCAACTGAAAATGCTTCTAAAGCTGAGTTGCTTGACAATAAACATTTAGGAAATAAAGTGGATGGCCTATCTAAATCCGTGCCTTCACATGGAAGCTCAGATGTGGGCAATGGAGATTTGACATCAAACAAGAAAAGGAAACTTGATGCACCCAGGGATGATGGTACTCAAAAAAAGAGCGGCAATAGTACTTCTAATAAAGTGGGTGATGGAGAAGTTATTCAAGTTGAAAAAGTTAAGACAGAGGAAGAGAGTCGAATAAAGAAAGCCAAATATGTATCCAAGAAAGAAGACGAGGTAGTACAAGCTAGCAAAGATATTAAGAAGAAAGATATCAAATGGAAGAAGTTGATCATGTCAGCCTTGAAATCGGTATGTATCATTTCGTATATGTCAGAATTCAATTTTACTCCGGCTATGGCAAGTATTACTTATAATCATTCATGTTTTTATGAACATGCATGTGTATTGTATGTGCAGAGATCATAATTCTAGTAATGATCATGTATTAAAGACTAAAATCTGTGCAGAGACCTTTGATAGATTTGAGACAAGTCCCCAACATCGTAAAGCTCCAACTGTTTCTTCTTTCCAACTGATAGCTTTCTTATATGTCGGAGTACATTTTTTGAAATGTTTATGATAAAAGCTTGTTCTTCTTTTCTAGGATGGGGCTAAAGATACGTGGCATATAGCTGCTTTCTATTATCTAGTTATGTAATTCTCTCCAGTGATCCAATGATGTGACTGTATTTGGGTTGTGGGTGTGTATCAGAATCCAGATGGAGTTCTGAAGATGAGAAAGCTGAGAAAGCTTGTTCTAAAATCCCTTCAGGAATCTGGAGTGGCAGATGATGAAGCCCAGCTCTCTGACAAGTTGGAGCACAAGGTGAGCCCATCTGAAATGAGAAAAATGGAAAGCTGCTAATATACCACTTCATTTGTCCAATTATTTTTCATATTTTGTTTATTTTCTGTTTTCATTTACAGATAAATTCAAGCGCCAGATTCACAATTGATGGCAAGTATGTACGACTTGTTGCTTCAGATTGATGGTTGTCTTTTGTATTGTTTCAATCCATATATTGGCAAGATTTTGTGATAACCCAATTTATTACCAAGTTATAGCCCAGTTTTGCTTCGTGGACTAAGCTACAAGAGATTCAGCCAACCCAAGTAATTACATTTTCTTTATTATCATTATTTTTCATTTTTCATTCATATGTGTGGGAAAGGTATCCAAAAGAGACTATGTGATCACTTGTCTTCTTGAGGACTACATACATTCGTTGTGATTATATTATATGAGATAATCAATTTGATTGCACGGAAGGGAAAAGAAGTTATGTTCCTCTAATAGCAAACACAAACCTCTTTACACGGTCATCTTTGGTTGTAAATGACGTAACTTATTAAGGCCACGAGCGACTCTGTAAATTTAAACAATGGTAAACCGGAGGTACGGAAAGCTAGTACTTAGAACAGCTGATTCTTTTTTTTTTTTTTATTTTTTACGATTTGTGCTAATTTTTCGTTTCGTTTCATTTTATATCTTTATCTTAATATTGAATCAGTCCCTTGTCCGGTTAACGAACTGAGAATGATTGTTAAATTGACTTGGTTGAATGATTATTTGAAGATATTTTGCTCATGTGGATTTGTTTGATAAGAGAAGATTGGATGCGTTGGTTACTAATTTCTAGATACGATTATTTATCAATAAGCTTCTTAAGCAAATGTCTATACGATTCGTAAAATTAGTGCGCTCTTAATATTTTTTGATATTTCCACTCATTTACATTTCCTTTCTTTTATCTTTTGTCTTCCTCTATTCTCCTAGTTGATGAGTGTAAGGTGGAAGTTGTTTGATGCACAAATTGAATAATCGAACCACCAAATAGTTTGTTTGGTTTGAAACCCTTCACATTTTGTTTTGGATACAAAATATTACTTCAATTTTTATTTATTTATTTTTTTTCCAGATTGGTTTGGGAAAATGCTTAAACCGAACTGAAGTTCAAATTATATGTAATTATGAAGGAATATAAAAAATATCTATATATAAAGTAAGCTAGTAAATAACTAAAATTATTTACACTATTATTATCAATAGTTACCCCATTAAAAATATAATAAACTATTGATTGCTAATATATATATATATATATATATGTGTATATGTATAACTTCATCCTTTTTATTCTGCTAAGTTGCACATGTAACTTGTTAAAAATGTTATTATTAAAGTTAGTATTTTACGGTGGAAGTTATAAAATTTTTAAGGTACTTAAAAATATTAGCTCGAAACAAATCAAATTAATCTGAATCGTCCTTGAAATGGGTTTGAATTTTAATTCTATAGAATTAGAAAGAAAAAAGAAAGTATGACAAAAAAAATAAATAAATAAAAAAAAAAATAACAGCATGACTTAAAAGTGAAATTGTATGTCCAATTTGAATACATTTTTATGAAATGTATAAATTTGACTAACTCTGACATATCAAGTAATTAAGATCCTAGAAACTTCTTAATGAGAAGATAAACTAAACATGAAATTAGAAGATGAAAATTAATCTTATATAGAATTTCATGTGCAGCAAGAACAACATTTCAAATTTTATCTATTTTTATGGAATCTGAAGTGCACCATCTTGAATTCTCATGGACTTTTTATATGAGATGAGCGTTTACATTTATTTAGTTCAAATAAACCCTTTTCCTTCAAAATTCGCAATAGTAGTCTCTATATGAAATTTATGTTCAATTAGATTTTATAATTTTTAATTACTTTCACTTACACCCTTCACTCGAGAGAGACTGATTTAACTTGGTGCTTATTGACTCTAACTTATGGTTGTAGTTTCTGCATTTGGAAAGTGCTTTGTAACCAAATGCGTAAAAGCTAAAGCAACTTTAGTCAAAATCAAGACCAAAATATGTTTTTGATATATCTAAACTGACCATATAAAGACTTAAACTTTTTGAAAAATAGCTTGAGCCGTCACATTTTTATTCTAAAATGATCCTTAATTAACTAAAAAATTTACATATTTTCTTTGTTTACTTTGTCTAACATCTACACTATCATCCCCTTGTTGGTCGTCCTCCGTTGCTAGCCAATTATATCGTGACTACCCTCTACCACTAATTGCCCTCCACTACTAGTTAACTGCGGCCTTTCGCCAACTAAATATTCTTTGTAACTAGTAGCCGGTCGCCTGTTGCTAGTTATTCATGTAAGAAAATTTGATATGAAAGTTATTTTTGTTGAATTTAACACATCTTAAAAAATGAAGAAACAACATAAAGTTAGATGTACATATCATTTGAAGATAATACAATCACAGTGTGATTGAGAGACCAATTGAAAAAAATTCTTAATTCTCTAACTCACTTTTTCTTTCTATCTAACTATTATGCACAAAAATTTTAAAACTTTAATTAATGAAAGACTCAAATGAAATGGGAACATGTGCTTATTTTAAATATGAGAGAAGAGACCAAAACATATTTATGATAATTGAATGTGTTGACAACCGTTTTTATTATTATAATTTAATACTTTTAAAATATAATAATTTTATAATTTATTTTAAGGTTACCTACTCCATCAAGGTACATTTTCCTTTTTAACAATTATATATTATTTTTTGTGTCCTTTTATTTGAGTTCAACCGTTATAAGTGAATGAGAAAAAATAAAATATTAAATTAGTGGGTCATCCACTTAATTACTGGAATTAATAGGTCATTTTTTGCCATTAATTGACCTCTGTTAACTAATGCCAAAGAATATAATTTGGATAGCTAAATTAAATTCTTAGAAATTGAAGGAACATAAAAAGTGTTCAAAACATCCATATGATGATCAGTTTCTAATAACAAGCAATATGTACCTACAACTACTACTTCTACTTTGAGACAATTTTTCACATAGAGGAACTTTTCACCTTTTTTTCGGTTTTCAGGTTGTAAAGAAACTCTATATTGAATTAGTAACATGAGTTGTGGCTCCAGAATTAATCTACCAAGTATTAGAAGGAACTTCAACAAGGTTTGATTCATAACATATTAAAAAAAATGTTCATACATTTCTTTTCGAATCAAGTCTTACGCTTATTACATTCATTTTTCACATGATCGTTCTTGCCACAAAAGTAACAACTCAAAGAAAATTTTTCATCATAACTCTAGTTATTCTCCCAAGTATACTTTATTTCTTTTGTGGAATGTTCTTTACTTTTCTATATTTGCCTTTATTCTTTATAGCTCCATGAGTAATTGTAAAGCCAAAATTATGTCAATCTTGCTTTAATCTCATTCCTCCTGAATACACTTGTTAATAAGCTAATTCATGTTTCACTACTCATTATTAGTGTTACAGTGAATTTTGAATGAAGCAAACTGCAAAAAAAAAAAAGAATTAAGGACAAATTGTATTGTGAATGACTCATCCATGTTTATGCCTAATGTGTTAAATAATTGCTTCTGGACTGCCACCTGTTCTTTTGGACTGCTATATATTTTCATCTAGATTGCTACATGTTTTTTAAATTGCATCAGTTATTTAAATATTGTGTTCCTAGTCCTTAGGAAGTTGTCAAGAATGTTTTCATATAGTTTGAATTCTTCAATGATTTGTTTTCTAGTTTTTAGGAGTTTGTTATTTTTCAGCAGATCAAGTGCAGAATCGTAGCTGAATTTCAGGACCCTGATATTAGTGGTTAGTTATGTTTTAATTTATAAATTATAATTCAGATTGCATAGATAAAACAAATGACGTTTGCATCAGTCCTTTTTTCTTTTTCTCTGGTCTTAACTTTACTGCTTTTATTTCTTCATGCAAACATTGTTTTTTAGTTTTTTATTCAAATTAAACAACAATTGGTATCAAAGCATTTTTCTTGAGGCACTTGTGTGTGTACAAGAGAAAATTCAGTGGACACCATAGAAGGAGAAGCCAGTTTTTCTTCAATCGCACTGCTAATCTTCGATGGAGAAAGCTATCAGATTTAGGCTGTTAGAATAAAGAACTATCTGGAAGCTATGGATATCTAGGAGGTTGTCGAAGATGATTATGAAATTACCCCCTTGCCAAATAACCCAACAATGGCTCAGATAAAAAATTTCAAGGAGAGGAAAACCAAGAAATCAAAGGCAAAGGCCTACTTCTTTGCTGCAGCTTCATCCACTATCTTCACTTGTATCATGTTTCTGATGTCAGCAAAGGAGATATGGGATTATCTCAAGACTGAGTATGAAGGAGACGAAAGAATTCGAGGAATGCAAATGCTGAATATGGTATATAACTTTGAGCTTCAAAAGATGAAGGAGACTGAAACCATAAAGGAGTATTCTGACTGCTTACTCAGCATAGCAAATCGTGTCAAATTACTGGGTTCCACTCAATTAGATTCAAGGATTGTTGAGAAAATCCTTGTAACGGTGCCTGAACAATTTAAGGCTATAATCACAACCTTAGAAAATACAAAGGACTTGTCCAAAATTACACTAGCAAAGCTCTTGAGTGCCTTTCAAGCACAAGAGCAACAACGTGTAATGAGACAGGAAGGAGCTGTTGAAGGAGCCTTAGCAGTCAAACATCAAGATGATGGAAGAAACAAGAAGAAGAAGAACAAGAAGATTCAAAGAGCAAGTGGTGAGATGGCTGCAACCAGCAACAAAGGTAAAATAGGAAACAAAAACGTTGGCATGAAAGGAAATTATCCTCCATGTCAACATTGTGGCAAAAAAGGTCATCCTCCTTTCAAATGTTGGAGGAGACCTGATGCAAAATGTAGCTAGTGCAATTAATAGGGCCACGAAGCTGTGATTTGCAGAAGTAAAGTTCGACAGCAAGAAGCAGAAGCCCAAGTTGCTGATCGAGAAGAAGAAGATCAACTCTTTGTTGCAACTTGTTTCACAAGCCGTGGTTCAAATGAAAGCTGGTTAATCGATAGTGGTTGCATTAACCACATGATGTATGATAAGAAATTATTCAAAGAGCTAAGCAGCACAGAGACGAAGAAAGTCAGAATTGGAAATGGTGAAAATATTGTCGTTAAAGGCAAGGGCACCATAACCATTGCAAGCTGTTTCGGAACTAAGTTGATCACAGATGTTCCCTATGTCCCAGATATTGATCAAAATCTGCTCAGTGTTGGTCAATTAATTGAAAAAGGATTCAAAGTGATTTTCAAGAACAAAATATGCGTGATAGAGGATCTAGCAGGTCAAGAGATATTCAAGGCCAAAATGGAGAGAATGTGTTTTTCACTCAATCCATTGGAGGAGGAGCAATCTATTTTTCCAATCAAAGAAAGTATCACAGAAGTTTGGCATAAGAGGCTCGGACAC